TGACTCGATGTGAAATCTTGCGACAACATAATTTGCTCATGTTAATTAAGGAAACGACTTGCCTTTTAGCTGTCAATATAACTGACCCACTCGTTACCCTGTGAGTTATACTTGAGCCTCCCAGACATGTTGGTAGATTTTCAAGGTGAAATTGGTCCTGAACAATATTTTAAGTAGTATGTGTTAAAGGAGAACAATCTGACTACGGTTTTTTTATTTTTCACGGACTAGCTTGGCATTGTCGACAAAGGATGAAATTGATAAGGATCTCGAAGGTGTTGAACTCCTTACTGTTCTCCACATTAAAAGAATGATGAGGGAATTGATTCTGTCTCCCCATTTTATTCCTCTCACAGACCTGGGTGGGATTATTAATTTAGGTAAACTGAGTCTTTCATGATTTTCTTCTTGATCTGAGCCCCTTTGATCTTGGCTGCGGCAGTAGGGGCCACCAACTAACTTTGAAAGATACGCCTGCCATTGGGTAGTGTCACTAGTCTTGACAATCTTCCGCTCTTACTCGATTACTTCGTTTTGGCAGCTCAGCATTTACAGTCGGCGGAGCGAAAGCGGAGAGTGGAGTTCGGGACAGTGGTGAAAGGCAGTAGCGATAAATTGCAGCGGTTACGTGCTGAGGGGCGATGCCGCAGTGGGTCCCACCCCGAGGACTGCGCCACCGTCGCTCGCACCGTCTACGGTCGTTGCTCTCCGTCGTCCTTGACATGGTTGACCTCGTACTCATCTCGCACTCGTACTATAGGTCAGATTTCCTTATTTCCCCTTTCCCTCCCAGAAGTTGGCGTCGGCTTTATTTCCTAGGTTTGTAGTATTCGTGCATTTGGTTATTTAGTTTATTCAGCTATATCAAGCAAATGCGTGCAATTAACTGACGATAGGTCTTCACTCTTCTCAATTATTTTTAAAATGGAAATCTGAAGGAACAGAGCATCGGGACAGATGCTTGTAACAAGAGGGAATACCCGTGCAATCCTGCATGCGCATGGCGATACTTGTTGTTATAAGCGTTAGACTGCAGGTGGTGCACTCAGACAAGAAGTTGCGTCAACACTGAGTTTTGCGTACCTGGGGCTGCATAGGCACGGATATTGGCGGGTCGAGGGCAGAGCGATTTAATCCGACGACAGGGATCACCACCTAACTTTGAAAGACACATGCCTAACATTTGGTGTTGTCACTACCCTCAATAACCTCCCGCTCATTCACTCACTTCGTTTTTGGCAGCTGGATGGGTCCAATCGGTGGGCCGAAGATGAAGAGCGGTGGCTGAGACAAGGGTGGAAGGCAGCACTCAGTTAATTTGTATATTTAACTTTATGTCAAACGGGAATAAGTGTAATTAACTAACTACAGCACTTTAATCTTAACAGTTATTCTGGAAGGAGAAATCTGAAGGACTAAGCATTGAGACGGGTGCTTATCACAGAAAGGAATACTTGCTGAATTTAGCATGCGCATGATGATAGCTGATGTTGGTAAATGTAGCAGTTAATTTAATCATCTCTTGCCTCTACATTTCTTCTACATACGGCACAATGCTATTAGTAAACAACAAGCAACGGTTACCGCTATAACCGTTGGATTGCAGGTGCTGTGCTCAGACAAGAGTCCGCGTCAACAGCGCGTTTTGCGTGCCTGGGGTCGCATAGGCACGCGAATCGGTGGCTCGAGGGTAGGGCACCTCGTCAGTCTTGACGTCGCCATAGAGCACTTCTACGACCTCTTTTCAAGAAGACTGCTAACTCCTGGGTACCGAACGTGCCAACTTTATCAAATTGCAACGTCGTATTTTCCTCTCGAACTGGAACAACTTGATTCCAGGGTAGATAACATCATACTATCTCTATACTGCTATTTCAATGTACCACGTATCTACAATGTAAACCCAGACTTTTGTCATGCATTGGCCTGTTTGATGTAGAACTGTCTGATGTTGAACTCGGAATATGGATGAAGTGGCGAAGGCTGCTGCATATAACCAGTCTAGAGTTTTACTGTTTAGTTCGCAGCTCTCCCATCGTTATGCAGCCTTCGTCCCTTTGCGGGTATTGTTCTACACTGTATTCCGATGTTATGAAACGACTTGTGTGTTTGAAAGGTGAAAATGATACTTTGAATATCTTATCAAGGCAACATGGCATGTAGCGCACTTTTTGTCGAATTTGGTGCAAATTTATCTGTGGGTGGTATGTCGTTTCAGGAGCGCTTCGATTCATACTAGCTTGCAACACGGGGTGGTTTCTAAACCCCTCTTTATATTTGCACTCCTTTTAACGAAAGCGTAGTTTTCTGCAGCTGCGTGTCTCATGAAGCAGAAATTGTTCTAAAACTGCCACTACCTGGTCATTGTGGTAACGTCCAAATCTACTTACGTTTATTTGTCTCTGTTGAAAGTGTCCAAAATCAAAAACTCGTCAATATCTAGTGCCAAGTACGTCTTGTGTTTACGAGAGAGAAATCAGTAACTTGATTTCAAAACTTCACGCAGATGTTTCTTTCCTGTTCCCAAGTTTTGATAAGCATTATCTCTGGAATAGGGCAAGTTTTGTTTTTAAGTTTACCCTAGCGAAATGGAACTCTTATTCACCTCTTGTGAAAATGCACGCTGCAAAGGCTTGGATGGCAGTAGTCCTTCTTGTTAATAAGTTTATTTCCTCTTCTTGAAAGTGTTTCAAATGCAAGAGTGTCTTTATGAAGACTGTTTATTTAACAAGGCACTGATTACCATGACAAATCAGCATACGGTGTCCTCATGTTGGAGCTCTAGGCACTAGGTTTTGTCTTTTTGCGCGGTTTACCACCATCCAATCAGTAGGGGGAGTTTTGATCCGATTACATGTTCTAAGGTGATACGATTGGCCTAGGAGATGATGTTAGCGCTAGATGTAGCATTTGCGGGTGTGCAAATATTCCCAAAGGTGGCATAAATTTAGAACAATTTGGAATCTTTAGTCATGCATGTTTCGGTGCTCAAAAGGTTATCAATGAAAGGAAAACGGCAATAAGGCTTTGGCAGTGCATTACTAGATGAGGTCGAATTACAAATATTAAAAGCTATTTTTAGCTAGGATCGCAAAAATGTTCTCAAAAATACATGCAGACTAACATGATCAAAATTCTGGTAATTCAGCGCGAAGTTTTGTAAGTTTTGCATCTTGCGTAACACCACACATATCTTGGCCGCGCTCGCTGTGGGGCTGTCAACTCAATCCTCATATCTCCCCTTATATGTCATCTTTGCAAATCCCAATTTGTCAAATATCGGCTGCTTTGCATACGTCAAGCTTTGATGGGCAATAAAATCACAGTGGGCCTTAGTAGCTAAAAAATGAGCAGTAAAGCACAGCCAAACCAAAATCCGCGTTTGTTGTTTGCAGAGACCTCAGTTTTCTATTTGGGCATACATGAGTTGTGTGGGAGTGCGCTTTGTTTTGGCTGATAAACTGAAAATCAAAGTGATACCTACAAACCATTATCTTCAACCAACGCCTTTTTGACTGCGATCTGCAGCAGATCAAATCACATTAATCGGCATAGTGCTTAAACTCATCCATAGCCCCTTCTCACAGCATCTGATTCTCAGTAGAACCTGGATGGCTTTGCTCATTTGCAAAAAATGCACGTGGGCTGGAAGGTCCCGAGAATCAAAAATTTGCAGTATTATTAAGCCTCAGGTCAGTACTGTATGTAGTATCTGGCTAAAGTCGTCGGCCCGATATCGTAAATAAAAAGTATTTAGGCGCGACTGAAACAGATGAATCGTTAATAATCTTTGATTCGTGGTAAATGGTTTAATGTCCTAGATCCTCTACCACACTTTTGTGAATGAAGATTACTAATACGAAAATCGACCTGGAAGACTGGTTCAGGCCTTTCGTGTAACTCAAGACTATAGCTCGTTAAAGCAAATGTGAAATATGTGTCTGAAGTTGCAGGTTAATGCAACATCATAGTGAAGTGGCGTTAGGGAAGAGTTTAAGTGCTTCTACGATTAGTAGTGCAACTTTTATTCGCCATGTTTGTTAGGACAGGAAAGAAATCAAATTGCAAATGGACTCCAGCTGGAATCATCGCAGGTTTCCCCAAATCAGCTTGAAAGGGGTCAGTGTTTGGGGCAGAACTACCGCGCGTGAACAGGTCAACTTGACAAGATTAAGCAAGAATTTATTCAACTGACTGACCTGGTAACAGTTCGACTACAGCTCACAGCTGTTGATCGTCCAATCAGATGCATGCCATGAGTGAATGTTCACTCTAGTCCAGTGGCGTTAGGGCTATTGCAGCCCCCTTTTCTATCCGTGGTCAAGGCATCGTAATTCTATCCATTTAAGGCCCTGTTTGGGTGACTGACAGTGAGTTAGTAAAACCGGGAGACAAACGACGACATCGATGTTTAACGAGTTTCCTTTCGTCTCGGCCTCTGATTCTGGCACTGCCTCCAATTCATGTAGCGACAGGGATAGTCAAAAGGTTGAAAAATGGAAACCCGTTCCTACCGACAATTTCTTAAGAATAAGGCTAAAGAAGTCAGTGAGCGAAGAAAAGGAAAAAAATACGTAAGTTTTTATTCCACATTTGCCATCTTTCATCTTCCTTTAGTTTGCCTTTCTTTCATTCTCTCCTCTTCACTTTAGCTTCCATAACTAAGTTATATGCAGGATAGGTCATACGAAACTTGAAATTGCGTGTGTGTACACTGTGCTTGCTTTGCTTCTTACCAGTTTTGAATTGTCTACCCTGCTACAGATTTTATTCACTGATTTCCTTGCAACCCAAATTTCCCTGCTGGCTACTGAATTTGTGCTACATTTAATAATGGCTTCATTCTCCCTCACGTTCTTTTTTATTTCAAGCTAACGACGCTCAAGCCGTTTCAATTGCAACAGCTGGCGTCGATTGGGATTCGATGAGCTCTACCCCCACAGCTGTCTCTACGTTTACATTTGCTTTCACCGCCGACTTTAAAATTGTATCTTCCTCGACCTCGACCACGACCACCTCACGTAGGTGTGCCAACCAAAAGAAGAGGTTGGATGATATTAATCTCATAAGTCGGCGAAAAATGGCAAAATGTGGGATCCTTAAAATGCGTAAGTAAATTTCCACTTCCCTCTATCACCCTTACAATTGATTTTTAATGTTTGAGCTGTACCAGTTTGCACTTTACTTTTTAGCAGTCAACATAGCATTTAAAATATTTGCATCCACTCTCGTTGTGCATTTGTCCTACGCTACACTGAACACGAAATACTCCATTTTCGTTACAATGAATGTAGGATCATACCCTTAATTTTACGTGGCTAGGTCACAGTAAACATTCACTTCGATGTGCGCTTTGTTTAGCCTAGTTGCAGAAGGATGCATTTAAAACTTTTGAGCTAATATTGCCAATCGAGTTGGTACCATGGTAGAAGAGATCAGCAGGTGGTAAACGGTGGTCGCTGATAGTTGATGCAAGTTCCCATTTCCTTACTTCTCAGTTCAGCAAAGGATGAGTCCGGTCTCCCTCCTCGACGGCGTAAAGCATCGAAATCAGTAAAGTGACATCACTTTCCAACAATCACCAATCACCAGTCCTCTGTCTTATTTTGTTGGAAACAATGTATTTACAAAAATTGTACAGTATCTTTGCATCTCTCTTTATCCGAAGTAGGGAAGCTGATGCTTACAACCCGAAAGTTCATTCTTGTGTTTCATTTACATACCTACCAAAACAACTGCATTTAACACAAATGAACTATTCACCGGATCATATATTGGCTTGTTTACAGGTAGCATCCTGAAGCTACACTTTTAATTCGTCATTAACACCTCTGTAATATGTGCTTGTATTCCGCAAAGTAAGGTATTTTATAGGCACTTGTCACTAATCTTGAGTTCGCAATTGCTTAAGAATTTGAATCTTACAATACGTTTTTACCTCCTCTAGATAACATTGAATTGTACAGTTAAGCACTTATCGCGATAGAGAATCAGGAAAGGAAGCTGAGTGTAACCCATTTACTCAGAGACAATACTGGCGCTAATGGTCTTGCTTACTTTCCGCTTGCATTTCTCTTTTGGAATCAGCTAATTTCCGGATATTCCTCGAGCAAAGTTTGATTAATAACTGGACTGGTTAGCTAGACGTTTGCTTGACGCAAGGTAATATCTCAGACCAGTCCATGAAACTCTAACGATAGGTAGATTGGTGGAGTTCAAATTTAGCTTCCATTCTCAACTACTTCAATTCTTTTCATACTGCTGATATCCCTAATGAAATTGACTGCTACACTGCCTGGTTGGGAAAACGCTTTTAATTAGCACCATGGGCTATCCATTTAAGTGTTCACAAGGCTCTGCACAGATAAACGGAAGGGTAGAAATAAGGTTTAAGGTGAAGGTTTCGCGCCAATACTGAGACGTGTGATTATTGAGTGTGGGTAATCATTGCTTGTGAAGGAAGGTGTGAGCAAGCACAGTCGATACGGCCTAGGCAAACTAGGATTCCAAGTTATTTTGGCTGTATTTGTAGTGTCATGGTTAGACTGATGTTGAAACTGGTGCATAATATGACTCCTAGAATTCTATGAACCCTGATAGGGATGTAAGAAAACAAGGCGGTTCCTAATCTTCATTTTCATTCCTCTAATTGATCAAGCATTTGATTGGAGTTCCAATTTATTGGTCGGGGACGAGGTAGAGTGGGCAGTAGGACAACGAAGATGTAAAGAAAAACCTAAAGACATAAAGCTAAATGTTTCATTGGCTTTCCAACCGCAAAATTTGGTGAAAGTGCATAAAAGCTTTGCATCTATCATTCTCCTCGATAGATAAAGATGGAGTAAATGACTAACGATTATTTTACCAAGTAGATTAATCGAGAAGGATTTATACTGTTTTTGTTTATAGCATAAATTTCCTAACACTAGCTGCCTTTCCAAATTTAGCCTTGTTTACCATGTGTGCCGATTTTATGCACTATATAATTGTATCTATTTGCATGGCTGCTCTTCAGATGGTCGATTTAGCACTGCATTCGCACTCTAGGTAGTAGGGATTGGTCTAAGAAAGTCACCGCTGTTGAGGATGGTGGTGGTGATAGGGATGAGCACAAAATGAGTGCGGAGAACCTTGGTTTGCAACCCTGGCTTAGTCATCCGCATTTGCATTGAGTGCTGTTGGAGAATTCTCGTTTATGAGAGGCGACTTTAGCGCACTACTAATACGCCTATTGTGCCTGTCACGATATGAAAATAAATGCTAAACATTTTTCAAGTAAAAATAAAAACTGCTGTATTCCCTGTTTGGATGGACTTTTGCCGGAAATGAAAAATATATCCCATTGTTTTAAATCTCACTTTACCTTGCTCAGAAGGCAGGAGTTAGACATATCTAGGGAAAAGTTATATTTGAAATCATGTGTTTCGACGCACTGAAATAAAATTATAGATTTATTCTCTGTGAGCATTTTCCAGTCAGTTTTTCTTCTCCATTACCACGTTTACTTAAGGGTGGCTTGAATAGCATGTCTGAAAGTGTTTAACTAAGCATAGCAGGTTGAACAAAAGTGGATGGTAATTATCAAAATGAATTAGTATTTTAAGTTAACTGCACACATTGAAGTTGGATAGCGACACAAGAACTGCTTAAAATTGTCTTTTAAATGGAATTCTATTGTAAAAATGGGATCCGTTTCGGATCCCCATACCACACCTGTGAATTCGGTTGTCAGTGAAGTGAAAGATTGTGTCATACGTGGCCTATGAGCAATTTGCGAAATTGGCGTCAAGCAGTGTACAATTAGATGATAGGTTGGACAGTTATTAAGGTCGATGTTTTCCCTACTTTTTTGGGTAGTTAATATGAATTCATATGCATGGATTGGAGCAACATTTACGCAGCTCACATCGCCTACTTTGAGGTGTTAAATAAATCAAGGCTAAATAGTTGGTTCATTACTAATGATTCCTCACGTTTAGTTGTGTAACATGCACTAAATTTAAAGGCAACGACTTCAAAGCTTCTTGCAACTTAAAAAATGGGCTTATCATTTGTATTTAATAGTTCTTATGATGCAGTT